ACCGACCCTTCAAAGCAAGTTCTAGAAGAAGTATATCGATCAGGAGCATATTACGTTTCCTCATTAGTTATCCCAGCGTAAGAACAAATCTTTCAGATTCCGGAAGGGATATGACTGTAGTAGGCAGGAAGTTTTATTAAGAGTGGGGGGGTTCATTTCCTGCACGAAAAAAAAACAAAAACACACACATATACAAAAAATAGTCAAAGATATCGTAGTTGTGTTTAACTACAGCAGATATGCAGTATAGAAAAGAATGACTAACGAAATAATTGAATGCAGAACAATAAATGACAGCCATTTCATATAGTCCAAATGAAATTACTACTCTTTTTATCGACTTAGTATATTAAACAAACGCCGGAACACAAATATTTTCATTTGATAAATATTACAACTGCACTGAAATACATTAATTTAGTAAATTCCAGGATAATTAGAGTAAAGAGTACCAGAAACTCAAGCACAATTATCTAGTTTCATAAAATAGAATGAAAAAAACCCAAATCCAGTGATATTATCCACAACTAGCTCTCCTACAAAACAAGGTATAAATGATCAATTTACTAGCTACAGTTACTGTGACACTGTATGGTAAACACAGTAAAAATTGTGTTGTGTGTAGTGACGAGACTGTCACATAAACTATGTTTAATAGAGCGGGAACTTTTACATTACCGGTCTAACTGTATATTACTCTGAATAACTTTATCTTGTTAAGCGCAAAGCTACACAATGAGCTATGTGTGCTGTGCCCACCACGGGTGTCGAAGCCCAGTTTTTAACGTTATATGCCTTCAGACGTACCGCTCAGCCACTAGGGGCACTGTGTGTTGTTTGTTTGTAGTTAAGCACAAAGATACACAATGGGCTATCTGTGCTCTGCCCACCACGGGTATCGAACCCTGGTTTCTAGCGTTGTAAGTCTGCAGACATGCCGCTGAGCAACTAGGGGTAATGTGTATAACAATTGCATAAAACTGTTACTCAAGTATTTTCAACTAAACCGACGTACTTCCAGTTTAAGGGTTTTATATTCGATACTATTTTTCTCCGTATTAAGTTGGGGTCAATGATTAATTTTTCCAAGTTTTGTTACTTTTTTTACTTAACCACTTTGTCTTAGGAAATCTAACGTATTATCTATGACTGCAAACAAAAACTAACAAACTGCTTTAAAAGTACGTAGTTAACCCATCTCTCATAATTTTAACTAGTTATTTTTTTCACGTTTTTTCCTGAGGGGTCAGCGGTAAGCTTACAAAGTCACAATGCTAAAACACGGGGTTCGATTTCTCGCAATAGGTAAACCGCAGATAGCATTTTTTTTCTTTGATAGATTGTTTAGGCAGAGTATTTGTGATGAAACTAAGTTGGATGGACGGCAACTGCCTCTTATAGAAACACAAGTGTAAAGGACGGCGTTTCGAAAGTCTTCCCCTTTCGTCATATTTCACATAGCGAAATTTGGAATTGCAGAGAAAACTCGTGAAAAATAAAACAACAAGCCAGGATGAGGGGCATGCCCCCCTCCGGGTACTAATGTATTTACAAGGAAGTGAAAGGCTCACTACTACGTTAACAGGAAGGCAAGATAATATTTTGATACTAAACATCACGCGCAGTTTATAGCGCTTGCTCTACTTGAAGTAATACAACGTTGAAACAACGGTGTGAAGTTTTTTTTTGGTTGTTGTTTTTTTGTTTATTGCTTTAAACGTATTGAAACGTTTTATTTATAATTTAGCACTTAAGGGGGGATTGTTGTGACTACCCATATGTATTTAGGCACTGTCATAATGAACAGTTCCAAAATGAAAGAGCGCCGATCTCAATAAACGTTCTGACTCATACCGTGATTCACGGCAATAATTTACTGATAATGTGGCATAAAGTCAGCTAAAAATTAATTGATAACGAAAAGAGCGAGGAGAAGGGAGAAGCGGTTATTGGTTAAACAACTTCCGCTTATTCTCTCGGTTAATGAAACAATTTCAAGGGAAAATGTTCATCTGTGATTAAACTTTGGCTGACAAAGATTGAATATATTTTATTACAAACAGACCACTCGGTGGGAGTACGTGAAACGTATTAAACTGTAGACGCAATGTAAATATGAAATAGACAACATTTCAGCCAATCACGAAAACACTTCGTGAATAGCGTGGAAAGGAGTGTCATTAGACTTCATCGTTTGCCACTTAGCAGTTTATTACAATCATTGCTTTTAATCACAATGAACCGAGATCTGATAATTATTCTAATGAAATCCAACAGACTGATGTTAAGTGTTCTTACACGTACAAACACAGTTTAGATGATAAAACACAATGATTTTAATATTAAATTTCACAGAAGGCCTTTATTATAAAACTCCTGCCCCATATATTGCATGTTCTTTAATTTTAAGTTTTTAATTTCGTCGAGCATGACGTTTTACATACAACACATCGTATTATTTAACATTGTCGAGTTCCCCAGCGGTATATTTACGAACTTACAACGGTAAAATCCAGGGTTGGTCCCCCATGCTGTACAAGAGCACAGATGGTTGGTCCATTGTGTGGCTTTGAGCTGAAACAAACACATCCTTTTTCGAAAACATCCTATGCAATAGTCTACAATATAAAACATACTATAGTAAACCGAAACATTTCATTATGAATGTCGTCCTGTGCAATAGTTTACACTTTACAATATAAAACATACTACAGTAAACCGTAACATTTCATTATGAATGTCGTCCTCTGCAATAGTTTACACTTTACACAATAAAACATACTATAGTAAACCGAAACATTTCATTATGAATGTCGTCCTGTGCAATAGTTTACACTTTACACTATAAAACATACTATAGTAAACCGTAAAATTGCATCATTCTGAATGTCGTTTCGGAGGAGGAAAATACAGGATGTACAAAAAATGAAGCATCAAATACAATTGCGTATATGGAGAGTATAAAATCCTTACAAAAACACTTAAAAAAAGAAAAATCACGAAGTTTGTGTGTGTGTGTGGTTTTGGGGTGTTATTTGATTACTTCAAGTAATGATCAATAATCACAAGGTGATGGAAACTATCTATGCGATACTTACCCATGGTTTATCCTGCATATACTGGAGCATAATTATAGTAAATTAGTATAGCCAGATTGTACATAACTGTAACACTAATTTATTTCCAATATGCAAATATTCTTGAGTGTTCGTAAGAAAAACCGAAAAACATTTCAAAATATATAAAATAATGTTGGTATAATATACATATTTTCTCTTATCACCAAAGTTTCAAGTAAACATAAAACCATTCTACTATTCGAATTGTCACTTCTCACCGAGTTAAACCAGTTTCGGAAATTTTCATCCCTCCCATTAACCCTGGCTAATAACAAATCGGAAAAAATAGGCCTTTTATAGTGGTGGTGGTCTGTAAGTTATACATGCGGTGTTCGAGCTGTCTTCTACTCTTCGCGGTGAACTTGTTATAGGTATTTGGAGAATTTGTACGATCGATGCTACTAATGTATTCTTCCGGACTATACAGTCTGTTTAAAATGATGTATTCCCACCCTCCCCCATCACCCCTCACGAGTAACCTGATGAGAGTTGGAATTCCGCGAAATCGATCCAGCTCAGTGACAAGTGGTAACTCGAACGGTAAACCGGACTTCACGTTCTCGTCGAAATTTACAATTTTGGTGATGAGCGAAAATAATATATTATCTTAGACAGCTTGTCTGCCGAATAATCCAGAAGAAAACGTTAGTGGCGTTTCTGCTACGTCTTCTTCAAATATACCCACTAGATGTACTTGCGTAGGGTCCCCGAAAGTGTTCTCTTTCATAAGTAAATAGAAACAAAATTAAGATTAACAATTTTTTTTCTTTTGAAGTTCATATGTCATGCTGTGTTGTAGTCTACAAAGCGCTTAATTCTTCTCGTGATTCATGGCATGTGCACGTTTTACTGACGTCACGACAGCACAAATTGCAACGTTAAGCGTTCGTTATGCACTGTAATTTTAGTGTCTACTGACTGACCGTAGACACACTACTGTATAGTGGTGCAACGGGTGACCCCTCCAGGCGGTCCCCTTTCGGGGAAATAATATATAGGTTCACTGTGGTGAATAAAAGACAGCTCAAACAACATGCAGACAATGTCATTATAACGATATAAAATCAAACGTAAAAGCCCTTCTACAGACTAGAATGAAACGTCAGAGGAAGAAGCTTAATTATAATACACTTGTAATTTTTCAGTATTTACTGGAAGAAACAATTTTTTGGTTATATAATACCTATAAAAAATTAATATAATACATTACGTTGGACACTAGGGGATATATGTATTCATATTCAATACATTTTACACATGAAGAGGATAAAAAAATCACATTATAGAGCCTCTCAAAACACAGAAATCTTAGCAGGCCCATTTCGAGTTTGCAGCTTGAAAGACTTAGGCTTTCATGCTTAAGGCTACGACCCTGCGTCATTGTATTAAAGTTGACTTTAACAAAAGCTGTTTTACAGATCGTATTATGTATCATATATAACATATCATATACATTTCAGTAGACCATTAAATGCTTTGAAATAATAAAATATGTGATAATTCACATTTTTGTAAATGACAGCAAATAATTTGTCTGTTTGTGTTGACTATACACTCATTTGTCCAATGAGGAAATATAATACTTAAAAATCTGATCCATGTCATACAGTGTGTTTCATGTTCTCATAGCAAGTGATGTATGTCTAAAAGGTCTGCGAAAAACTATATTTAACAACATAAAGTATATTCTTTTAAAAAGCATACTAAAAATTACTTACCGTATTAAGCTATTGATATAAATATATTTTAAGCCTACATATCACAAAACAAGTTCTGTTATCCTGTTATATTTCAACAGTATTCCGCATCAGGTAATACTATTAACGTTTAATTTTGAAACAAATAAATATAGCTTATAAATTTCTATGAATGAAGACTTACCTCATAAACCAAAATTTTGGCTTGTTGATAGAAAGCTTCAAGAGTGACGTTATAACGGAGTTCTCTTATACTCGGCGCAAAATATCTGGAAACACAAAAGATATGAAAAACATAACTTAAAGCTAGAGCAGTCATTAAATCCTTGTTATAATGCTCACCTTATTGATTTCCATATCTTGTCACACATATATATATAAAATATAATATATATATATCTATTATAAAAAAAATCTACAAGACAAATTTCTTAACAGAAAGATAAGAATACATATTCTGAAAGAAAAACTCTTTACCCTTATGGATTAAATCAGAACTTTCAAAATCAAACTGCTGAACTTATAAGTAAAGATTCCTGTATCAGAAATATATTTCAAATAAAAATTTGTAGAAATAAACAAAATAAAAATAGGGGTAAAGGTAAAAACAGAAAAAAATGGATTGATTTTTAAAGTTTTTGTAAAAATTTGGATTCTGTACTTCACAGATCTGTTAATCTGGTGAAAAATCTATAATAAAACAACTAAGTATTTGAATTAACAAAAGCACAACTCAAATATCTGTCCAAATAATTGTTAAATTTTGAGTTTAAAAATATCTATGTTAAAGACTTAATTATAGATCTAATTAAATTTAGGTTAAAATTGAATCGTATATCTATACTCTCTTCAGTAAAGAAAAAAGAGAAATCTTATATAGTAATTGATTTTAAACAAAGTTTATGATGATTTATATTTACCTTCCCTGATCCATAAAAGTATTCAAGAAGGTATTTCTCCAAAATATCGTTTCAACCGATAGTCAGTTTTAAATATAATAAACCTATAGGACCTCTTCTCTTTAACTATAAAATATTCGTTGAAAAATTTAATCAAATAGAAGTTGACAATTTACATTGTAACTGTAATAAGTGTTTTTAATAAATATTTTTCATAATCATATAGTTACAGGAAATTTAAAAGTTGTTAAAGATAAAGAATTACAATCAATATTAATGAAAGGTACTAAATATAGAATTTTCAAACGCACAAAAAATGTGAAATCTTAAAGGACTTAAAAAAATATGTTGATGATTATATTTTTAAAATAAGTAAAGAATCCTATTATCCACCATGTTTTTTTACTGGAAATTATATTCTATTAATTCTATAAAGAATCGAATAAGAACGTTAAACTTATCTCGATACAAATTAGATATTTCTTTCAATAAATAAAATGAAATAAATTCAAAATCAATTCGTTATTACCCCGATTGATAAAGCTGGTTGTAATTTTGGTTTTGTGTGTAAAAATTATACGCACAAATTTTACTTAATGAAATTAATACTACAAGTACTAATACTAAAAGTACTTCAAAGAAAAATAATGTTATTACTGATTTAAAGAAGGCTATTAAAAATGGAACATCCATACAGATTATTTTTGCACGAATTTACCATTTTTATATGCAATTCCAAAATTCCATAAAAATCCTGTGAAATTCAGAGTTATTACTAATTCTTTAAATACAGTCATTAAATCTGTTTCCATAGTGCTTAACAATATTCTAGATGTCTTGTTTGGAAAAATAAAAACAGTCTTCAAATAACCAGAATGATTATTTTTGGATTATTAAAAACAACATTCCAGTTTTGGAATGTTTAAATATTTTAAATTCTTCAAAACTGACAGTTCTATTTTTACATATGACTTTACTACATTGTATACTAAAATAGACCTAAAAGATTTAATCAGGGTTTTTAATGATTAGTTTGATAACTTTATAAATAATGAAATAACTATACCCAAATTTAAATTTACTAGAATTCAATATAAAAATATACTCCATTTCTGCATTTATAACAGTTATATTGTTTTTAACGAACAAGTATATAAGCAAACGGTGGGTTTTCTAATGGGAACGAGCTTTTCTTCAAATATGACCAACCTGTATCTGTTCTTTTATTAAAAATCATGTATGAAGCAGACTTTAAATCCTAACTTATACATTTACGCTTTCCG